TTAACCTCAAAAGCTTTTCAATTAAGTTGACAGCTCATTCTAAAAAGTTGAGAAACAGTAAATTATATTTTCATATTTTCAGTTGATGTCCTTCTGCTTTAAGTAGTGAATTCAGCTGTCGACACAATGTAATCACATTTAACGTTAACTGCCGTCCGTCGCTTGTGGGCTGCTTCAAAATGAAACGAAATAAAATAAGTGCAATTTATGCATATTAAAAGCTATATATTTGCGCTTGCCCACCTATATACCATACATACATATATACATGTGATACATACGATGCGATATATGAGGAGCATAAATGAATGGTGTCTCCATGGCCATCCTCGCATACATTTCAACCATGCGTTGGCATTTATTTCGGTGGTTTCTTTTACCCATTTTTTTTTTCGCTATATTTCGCAGTTTTTGGTACGTATAATTTTTATGTGCTGAGTATTGGACATTGTTGCAATGGCGCCCAGCAACTTTTGCCTTGGCGCAACTTTTGTCAGTTTTATGTTGGATGGCTGGAGATGGCAGAGGATTGGCCGGCGTTGCACTGCGTTTGCCACCAGCGCCAACAAATTTAATGCGCAATGGATTCGCACTTGAGAGCGACCGTCGCCTCCACACCACAAACTCGACAAACCCAACAAATGTAATAAATTCTCATGCCCACTGTCAGGCCGAGCGAATCGCATAGCATCGCATCGCATCGCGTGTTTACTTTTTGTATGATGATGCGAGCGAGGACAGCAGCCCAAGCTCCGAGACAGGACCGTAGTCGACCTGAAACCCAAAAACAACACACAGTACTCTGCTCAAGGCCCGACACAGTGTAATATTGTGATACACTTCTGGGTCACATAAATGCCTGACGGACAAAAACTGACAACAATGGTCTAAACATTTTTATCATAGTTTTTGTGTGGCTGTTTTTATCATCACTTTGAAGGTGATGTTAGGCGAAATGTTTACATTTTGAGGAATGCAATTTTCTTCTAATTAAAAGAAACAGTTTGTATAAAATAGTTATTTGTTTTTATTGTAGGAATAGAAATAAACTATAATTAATTACATATTTTTTTTATTAATGTATGAAAACTTGAGTGTGTGTGAATAATGAAAACCTTTCAACTTTTTTATGTACTTAAAAATATGTAAAATTTTCTCACAAGAGCTGTATTCCAATGAAATTTTCAATAAGACTGGTAACCACAATCTTCTTAGGGTATTTAACAACCAGTAAGCCTTCTTGTTGTACTCATTTACGGAAATTCCACTTTGTTCTCTTTTCTGCATTTAAATTTTATTTATTCATTTAATATAACGAGTGCACTTTCTCTGTGTATATATAAAAATTATTTTTTTTTTTGGCACTTTTGGCTGAGCATTAAACTATAAATGTGTACGTGGCAAACATTGAGGCCTACATTTAAAGGTGAAATGCAGTTGAATGCCTGAAAGTTGAACACAGTTCTTCCAGTTGAGTGTGCGATTCGTCACAGGGGCTATATCCGCTTTTAATCAAATGCAAAGTTGACCAAGACAGCGAGCGGGGCGCAGCAGGAGGTGGAGTCGGTGAACGATTGCATGCGACTGTGCCGGCTGACAACTGCAGGCCTCAAGATGGCAGACACCCTGTCTGTCTACTGTTGGCCACCATCCTGCCATACTTCTTCACCCCCGTCTATGTCTATCTCGCTCTCTCTCTCTCTCTCTCTGTGAACTGCAAGCAGCTGTCTGTTCCGACTGTGGCTGCTGATATGGCTCACTTGTGTCATTTATCTTATTTTACGGCATGTGAGGTGGCGCCCATTCAATTTCAAAGGTGCCAGGCAGCTGACTGAGCAACGCATAAGGCACGCACACAATGAAAAACATACACACACACAACCACACACACACACACACACACACACTGAGCTGCAGTGCACATGCTTATGCACCTTGTAGAAATTGTGTTTGAACTTTGGCTTTGGTTTGATTCACTTTGCTGGCGTGTGAACTGCAATGTGTTATTTCTGTTGTGTTTTTTGTTCATTTTGTTGTTGTTGGTGTTGTTGCTATGGCTGTTCTTGTCACAACGCAAAACCTACGCTTTGTTGACATCCACCCAGCCAGTTCGACTTGAAACTCTGATTGAGAAATTTGCAACAAATTTTCAGCTGGTTGTCAACTTGAGCCTTTAGTCCGTAATAAACTTGATATTCAACCCAAAGCGAATTTACCTTAACTTCTTGTAAAACTGATGCGCTTTTAAAAAATTCATACAACACTTGACAACAAAGTGCACTTTGGCTCAAATGACAAACAACAACAGCAACAACAACAACAACATGAGCAGTAAAAATCACTTTTCATGTTGTGTACTTTTCAAAGAATTTTCAAGCACAAATCTTGAGTTGAGCTGATCGATAACAGCTTTACAACTTTCAATTAAATTTTGTACAGCAAGGCAACCAAACCATTTGCCATGTGTTAGATAGCTAGCAGATATCCTTTCAGAATATTAGTAGGTCAAAGGTATCCAAGAATACAAACAAACTTGTACAGCTAAAAATATTTAAATGACTTTTTAATACCCAGTTATTTTATTTAATTGAAACCTAATCTTAAGAATAAGATAATCTGTGGTTTGCTAATTATTTTTCATAGCTAAATAAATAAGTTATGATTATACTCATCTTATACTCATAAATATCTAAAAATTAAATTATAATTAACCCATTATTCAGAGGAATTATAAAGCATAATACTATATATTTTCACTACAATATTAATAAATAAATGTGTACTTTTATGAAGCACAGATATCTACAATTAAAGCTGAATATTGGTTTTAGCTTGTACAGAAAGTTCTCATGCCTGTTTTTAGCCCATTTATCGAGTATCAAATGCACAAATATTTAGTTCTCATATTTTTTGCTTTGCCATCCGAAAATTTGAATCTGTTTTAATGGGTCGGTTGTCTGGCAACAATCAAATTGGCAATTCATGTTATGCAAATGTCGAGTGTTCATTGGACGTGCCTAAAATTGCAATTAGTGCAATTTTGCAGCGCAAAATGGCGCATAAAATATCAATAAACAGTTGCCAAATAAGAGCTGACCAAACTCTTGGCCAACAGAGATGTAATTTCGAGTGCCAATTCATGCCATTTATTTAGCCAAAACAGTTATTCGAGTGTGCTAGTAAAGGCTACAAATAAAAGTAGATATCATTAAAGCTATACATATGTTTTAACAATTCATACATTCAATAAAAAATAATGAATATACAATTTATTAATCGGCTTAAATTGACCGCAACAATAAAAAATATGCTTAATTCATAAATTCAGTTCACCAATTAATGTTGTGGAAGATTTCATAATTTTTATCCGTTTATTTAATATTTACATAATTGTAAATGTTTATGTCAGCAATATGCACCAATATACAAATATTTAAATATGTCCATAGGGTTAGTGTCACTTATTATGAAAAAATTTGTTTGTTCTTGGTTAAAAGCAATAACAAAGAAATCCTAATTGATTTTATTAATATTATTTGAGCGCGAAAACAATTATAAATGCGCAATATACATCCAAATAAATAATCGGTTAAAATAAATTAATTGAATTTGACTGGCAAAGCCGCAAAATGCGTAAATTGTGGCCACTCTTTATATATAAGCATGTATCTGTTTAGTATGTGGAATAATGTAAATGACATGCAAAGAGCTAATGATGCAAATTAATTACAAATGATGCACACAAAGGAATTCTATGCGAATTTGTGTGAGTGTTTTTCTGTTTTTGTAGCTTGATTTTTAATTTATGCGCACCGCAGTTGATTTTCACATAAAATCGCACGCATAGCTTCGCAAATCCGCGGCAACTTAAAAGCTTAAAACGCCACGCCATGAGGCAACATTTGCTGGCTGGGCTCCAGCATTTGATATCCGACCCAGCCAGCCAGTCAGCCAGCCAGTCAGCCAGCCAGCCAGTCAGCCAAGTCCCCAGCCAAGGCTTATAAATTTTAATTAAAATGCGCACAGCTACAGCAACAGAAAATAGCTACACCTACAACAGCAACAACAGCAACAACAGCAACAGCAACAACAGCAACAACAGCAACGTCAACGACAGCATCAGCCGCGCTTATTTCCGCTTACATTACAATTACATTCATTTGCCAGCGAGCCAGTTCCACTGCCTGGGCTTGGGCCTGGGCTTGTTACAGATATTTGCCAAGGAAACGTTTGGAGTTTAGTTCAGGTCTTAACACCTGAACTAATGTCGCTGAAATTTGCATTAAGTTGAAGGTGGTGTCGAATTGAGGAATGCATCCATTTGCTATTTTTTACTACATTGTTTTATATTGAATTTAAAGTGGATGAATAAGAAATGTTTTACGTAGTACATAGTATGTAGTATATAGAGTCTAAATAACAAACGTTCGTAACTCTGATAAATAATGTTGATAAGTTTTCACAAGCGAGCAAATTTTGTAATTAGAATGCAGAAAATAAACAATTTGCAGTTTTCATTATTTACTCTCAAGCAGACAGCTGCTGCCAACGCAAAAACTTTCGCCCTGTCCAATTTGGGCCATCTTCAGGGGGCTTGTATTTTCGTCTAGGGAGCTGCTACAAGGACTATCTGCCAACAAGCCAAATGGCAACATTTGGTCGCATTCGGCTGCTGCACTAATGACGCGAATCGGCCTAAATAACAAGCTGCTGGCATTTGGTCAACAAGTGGGATGGGTAGAAAGGGGAGCTAAAGCCAAGCTGCGTTGCCAACTCGGCAGTCGATTTTTCAGGCTCTCTAATGAGACGCAATGAGGAGGAGGAGGAGGAAGAGAAGGAGAAACCACAAAATGGAAATTATGTAAAATGCAACAGCAACCAGCTGCGACATTGGGCGTTCTTGCTGGGCGTGACATTCACTTAGATAGAATTCATTTAATTAAGTTGAAGTGGGCGGGTGCGAGTATGCGGCTAACAACTTATTTTTGCCTCAAGCAGTCAGTGAAATTACATTCAATATAAAAGAAGTAAGTAGTCAACGACTCGGATGTCATTAAAGGTTATTCCAATGAAAACAAGTTGAACTTGTAGCAACTAGATTCGACATGGAGTTGAACAAGAAAATTAATCTTACAGTCAAAGAAATGCAAAAATTTGACGTCGAGCGGATCTTTCGTGATACGGATGAGCCGAAGTATTCAATGTGTTTCTCAGACGATGGAGAACTTCTGGCAGTCTGTGATCATGAAAACCTCTGTTTATATGATTGCCTCAGCTTACAGAAGTTGTCTCAGGTGCATATGCGACGATTTCATTCAGAATTGATTTGTTTTACCCACCAGAAGCATCGACTGTTGCACAGCTCCACAAAGGTAAGCCGAAAATCAATTTGGGTAGAATTTCGATCATGAGTTTTCATAAAACAATACAATTTTTTGGTATATTTAAAAGCACAACTAAAGATGATTAATAAGTTATTATGGAAACAATTTATTTTAAGGAAACAATTTAAAACAATTTAGAGATTTTTACCAAAAGTCTCAACAACAAATGCAATTGAATTGTATTTTAAAACTTTTAGAAGGATTATGCAATACGCTGTTTGGATTTGAATAGACACAAGCATGTGCGTCTTTTAAGTGGCCATACAAAGAGGGTGAGAGCCCTTTGCTTTCAGCCCGGCAGTCAGCATCAATTCTTGAGTGCTGGTTGGGATAATCGTGTCTATATATGGGATTTACGCAGCTCCAAATATACGCAACATTTTGATTATCTACACAGTCCATTAGTGGCCTACGATCCCGATGGCTTGCTCTTTGCGACCAGCAGCGACAATGAACGCATTGAGGTCCACGATGTGCGTATGTTGAGCTCGAAGCCATGCCAACAATTTGGCTATAAGCTGAAAAAAGAAGCCAAATGGACGCAGTTGCAGTTTGCGCCCGATGGCAAAACCCTAATGGTGAGCACAGATTACTCTGGATGTTTTAGTGTGAATGCTTTCAATGGTGGATTCCATCTCGACTACACTGGATACCAAAATGAATCTCGTCTGCCGACGCAGTCCTGCTACACGCCCGACTCCCAGTTCGTTTTAGCCGGCGTGGACAAGGGACGAGTTCATGTTTGGAGTGCTGAATGTGGTCAAACTGTAGCGGTGCTTCACAGCAATAGCCTGGAGCCAGTGCGATGTCTACAGTTCAATCCCAAGCAAACGATGTTTGTCACCAGCGATTCGATGACTCGCTTCTGGCTATCCAAAACAAATGAAAACAACGAGCAACAAGTCGAAGGAAAACGTAAATTGAAGTCAGTGGTACACAAGATCACGCCCATCATAGATTTGACGACCATGGATGACAGTGAAGATGATGATGATGATGATGAGGAAGAGGAGGAGGAACAGCAACGTATCAACAACTTCTCGTCACGCAGATATTTCGGGCCAATGCCAAAGCGATATCCTTGTATTCCGCCGCCGGCCATAAGGCAAAGGCGTCGCTTCTGGCATCCTGTTTGGCAACGGAATGAAGATGACAGCCCCGAGGAGGGTGAACTAAATGATGATGACTAAACGAGAGAAGAACTAGCAAGAGATGGAAGATATTCTTACTTCTCAGTGACCGTGACAAATATCAGTGAGTTTGAATAGAGAATAACTGAAAGAATCCCTTAAAATAAAATCAATAAAAATGTAACTCAATTTCAAAGCCATATTATTAATAAATATAAAAAAGTCGTCAACATTTACTGCATAATCATAGCCGTAGTTTTTATGTTTTGATGAACACAAGATAACCGATTTAAAACAAATTTCATTGGAAATCTAATCAAAGGGTCTTCAAGTTTTAGAGTTTTCATGAGCTCCTATTCGTCTCAGACTTATTTTCCAAACTGCTTGTGAAAATATATTTAATAAGAGACTTATGGACATTGTTGATTATAAATTTTGAGACTTCAGCATCGATTGGCTTGAATAAACACGATATTATTTCAATAGAAATATTAATATACTTCCCAATAGAAATATTAATATACTTCCCAATAGAAATATTAATATACTTCCCATAGTTAAAATGTGATTGTAACATGTGTTCTACTGTGAATCCCAACGACTCGGTCACAGTTGCAACTCTATCAAATACGCATACACACATCCAGCTATCAATCAGCAGACATTCACACATCTAGAGTTGGAGTTTGGAGTTGGAATTGGATTTGGACTTGGGCAACAGTGCATACAGCAGTGTAAAGTTCCAGTTGCTGGGAAGTTGTGCAATTGCATTGCAGAACTGGTCGGCAAAGTTCCAAAAACTGGCAGCAGCACTTCACAGCTGGAGCATTACAAGAGTTATAACAACAACATGAACTAAAACAAGGAGTAGAACTTGAGAGCTTTTACTTTTGAGATAGACAAATTGTCGAGTTTTGCCAGTGAATTGCACAGTTGGCTGCCTTCGAGACCCTTTATTCTGACAAGCGTTTCATTCAATTTTTGCCACCCATTTTTTTTTTTTTTTTTGTTATATTAATGAAATACCCCACACAAATTGTTCTTAAACTTTTGCGTAAAGCTGCTCGAAACTCTAGTTGAAGAAATGGTCAAAAGACTATCACGAAAGTTCTCTTTACAGGACTGTTGAAAACAGTTCAAACTGCTAGGAAGTTAGCGGTCTAAAGTGTTAAAGTTTTTTACTTAAAATTATCTGTATTAGAACTGCAATTTACTACAGAAGTAAAATAAAATATATATTACATTTTAAAAACTTTTACTTTTAATGTAATATTATTATTATTTAAATATCTGGCTAAGAATTTTAAAGAAATTGCATATGAAATAATTCAGATAAAACAAATGTTATCAAAGATAAGAATAAATTCAAACAACATTTCAATTTAATATTTCAATCTAATATCCAGCTAAATAAGCGCTCAAATATACCCAAAGGCAATTGAGACTGCCAATCACATAACTGTAATAAGTATCTTTAATCCCTTGGGATTTGGATTCAGCTTATTTTTATCCATACGCAAAAGATACATTTGCATAACAGCAACGTTTAATCGAATTAAATTTCAATGTTGAAACGTGCCAAATGGCTGTCAGTTCCAAAACTCAATCTTTTTGAATAGTTTTTGGAAAAAGTAGAAGAAGACGATGAATAAAGGGAATAGAAAGAAATGAAGGTTGTAGATGGAAAACCTATAACAAGAATATTGATTACGTTAATTAGCAAGAAATGTTGCTAGTCGAGGGTAAGTAATCACAAATTAAGAAGCTTGCGACAAATTTGCTGCAATTGGCGGAAACGGAAGCGCGCGTGTCGCCATTTTGATTTGCCATTGCCATCGCTATTAGAATTAGTGGGCCATTGTTCTTCTTATTGACTTTGTCGTTGATGTTGTTGTTGCTGCTCAGCATCCTTTGAAGCGCATCAACGCCGCACGCTCTCAGGCATAGTAAAATTAATTAAAAGGTGCACAAGAATCGCAAAAGAAACGAAAAGCAGAGCGTGACCAAATTGTAAAACAAAATCCCAAACTTAACATTCCCCCCCTCTCCCTTCCCCCTTACCAACCAACTGGCCTCTTCAGCCACTCCACCTATCCAGAACTGTTATTGTGAAATGACGCAAGAATATTTAATGCGCTGCTCTTTGGGGTAATAAAAGCGGATTTCTTTTTGGGCTTAGCTCGCAAATCTTGTTTGCCTTTAATTCGAGGGGTTGGGGTTGGCCATGGTGAGGTGCAGGTGACGCGGAAGGGGGAAAACATGAGCATGGCCCGTTGCTCTTTTATGAAGTATGAAAGCTAAGAAACAGCGAAAAGTTTTCTGTAAAACTTCGTAGTCAAAGTCGAAAATTATTGAAGGGAATTTTGCGTTGTTGTACTTGAGGAGTCCAATCAATTGCATGCATCGCTGCGAACAAGCCCAAGAAAAGGAGCAGGAGGGATAAGAAGAAGAAGAAGAAGAAGAAGAAGCTGAAGCTGAAGCAGAAGCAGAGAAAGTTGGGTAGCAGGTCAGTTGGGTATTATAATAAAAGTGATTTAAAGTCGACTACAATCCATACTTATTATAAAGAATCAATTCGACCTCAATGCCCTACAAGTGTGGCTGGATGGGGGTTGGGTTGGAGCGGCGAGGTTGTTTGCTAAACTTTTAAATTACAGTACGGGCAGTTTCAATAATGTCAGCCACCCCAGATCCTCACTTGCCATTTGTCACCCACCATTTGTACCTGATGACCTCTGCTTGAATGTCCGAGGTACTTATAGGCGTCAAAACTTTTACTGTGCATTATTGAACTACTCCGTTTGTTAAGCCTTTGCCAACGGGTATAATGAGTATACATATTTATATACGAAATCATAAAGTCTATATTAATAGGCTAAACAAAAGGCGTTCATCCATCTCGCTTCGTTTTTATGTTTGTCGTTTGTGATGAGAATCATTGTTTCTTATTCATTAAAAATCCATTATAGCTGATGAAAATGGAGCTATCCAAACCTATAAATTGTTCAAAATTAAACGATTAAGTAAAGTTTGAGGTATCAGCGATCATCGTAAACTACTGCATCCAAAAAGGTCCTTCAAATTGTACTTAATATAGTGAAAATTGCCATTTCCTTTTATTAACTCAAGGGTATTAAAATTTCGACAACTCAAAACTAACTTTAATTTTTCTGCATTTTTATCTTTTTTTTTGTACTTGTTCCTTGAGACTTCAAAAAGGACTTTGACTCTCCTTCGTTCGACAAAGTTGTCTTGGGTTGTTACTGCAGGAGTTGCTCAAGAAATGTCTATTTCCGCTTGGGGCGTAAAAATAACAATCGACTTGCAGTCTGAATACATCACACAGTCTTAGTTGAGAGGGGAGTTGTGGAGGGAGTCTAGCTGAACGAAGGACGTTCGCCAAGTTTCGTCCATTTTGCTATTGCTTTGCGTCGCTTTTTTAAGACGCCGGGATTAAGTGGATTTTTAAGTGGCAGCAGCAAAAGTGGCCACGGGCCAGCTCCGGCTTAACTTTGCGGCTTAGGCCGCCCATCCCTGGTGACACAATTACATGCACGTTACCAGCAATTCCCAGGACTTCTCCCACTCATCCCCGAAAACATCCTCTTTCCGCTTGGAATAAAATGGCTCAGGCATTGACATGGACAGCACGTGCTAATGGGCAGTTTTTGGTGGTTCACCAAATAGCAGACGGGCGGATATTTGGACAGTTGGGCAGTTGGCTTTTTGTTCTGTGTGTGTTTTGGTGCCGCAATTGTGCCCCGTTGATTGGTTTCCAAATTAGCAAGCAATTTGGGTGCGAATCGCAATTGCAGATCAGTTATTAACTTTTCGTGGCTTTCAACAAGTACTTGATGGTAAATTCTTGCACTGTCAGTGCTTAAATGAAATCAAATTGAACACTGATCTTACCCAGTAAATGCAAATCAATTAAAGTTGCACACAAGTTGATTTTATATTTCTTGTTTAGGCAGAACAATTAAATTTAAATGACAGAGCTATGACTATTCAAGATATTCCACAAATGTTTAGCTCAATTATTTGACAGGAAACTTTCAGCAAAACTAATTTAGCAATAAATACAAAAGCATTTATAGCCAACCCGAGGTGTTCCCCTCAATTTGGTCAAGTGTAGTCAACATTCAAAAGCTCATTTGGGACGCTTCAACGCCTGCTGATGAGTTTTGAGGCAATGCGGAACATTGATTGATCCTTGCAAAATGCTGTCCGAAAACTATAAAACTCTGCCTGCCAGGCAATGGTTAGAAAAACAGCAGCAACAGCAGCAACAACAACAACAAGCAACAAGCAGAACAGCAACAATTCAAAGCCAACTCGAACTGTTGTCCGTAGGTTCAATTTGGATTGTGATTGCCTCAAATTAACCGACCGTTTTGTCCTTCCGTTTTGGGTCTGGGGCAACATTTGTGACGATTTGTCAGTTGTCCACTGGCCAATCTAACTGTCCCTTTTTCACTTGATATCTCATTCCCTCTCTCTCTCTCTCTCTCTGTCTAACAGTTGACAGTCTAGTCAATCAGGCATTCAATCAAGCAACTCATACACCACTCAAAATTGCCGCTCTAAACTTTGATTTTCCAATTTTGACACGCCTTTTGTAATTGGAAGTTTTCGTTTAGCACACACCACCCCCCAACCCCCCTGTGGCACAACAAGTATGTACAAACACAGTAGTGGCATGTTGATTTGCTTTTAAGTGACCTTTTATGCCTTTAACTGCGTAACTCGCGGCTTGGCCAATGCCTCCATTTATTTGTTTTTATAGCTTGTCGAGAAAAGCTGTTCGCTAGTTGGTTGGGGGGAGGTTTTGGGGTAGCTGCTTCATTGCAACTTAAAGCTCAACGGTTTCAGCCATCGCCATGGGCCTGGCATTGGCATCAGCATTGCTATCCCTATTGCAGTTGCAATCAGCTTAACAGTAACTAGAAAATAAATTGCATTCGATTTTGTTTTTCTCTCATTTTTATGCCCTGCAAGGTACATTCAGCTAAATGGGGTATATTCTTTATCAATTTAATGTTTCCTTATGAAAATTTTATAAGGGATGAGTTGAAGTTAGAAATTGTAGAATTTATAATTAGTGTTAACAATAAAGATAAGACAAACCTTAGTCACCGAAGTAATAATTTACTGCAGTAGAAATCACTTTAAAGTCTTCCAAAAACATGTTCAAA